TGGTGGTATTCTCCCTCTCCTTTGTGCCTCTCCAGTTTGTGGTTTAGTTTAGATTAATCCTTTTTTTCTAGTTCCTCTGAACTCTTCTGTTGAATTTACCTGTTGGAGTTTGGGGTAGAGGAATCCCGGCTGATCCGCACATGGGGAGCAGGGGGTGGATTTGGGAGGGAGGAGGTTACAGGTCTCACTGGTGTGGGAGGCTTCAATCTTTCTTCCCTTATCCCCCTCATTACAGCTAAACCTGTTCTCAGGGCCCATCCGTGCTGTCGAAACCCGCCTGCTGTTGAAACCCACCAGCTGCCCCGGGTCTCCCCTCCAGCGACCAAAACTGCCAGAAGTGGGGTTCGCCGATGGCTGTCAGGGATACTCAGCGCTGCCCAATTCCCCTCTGAGCCGAGGTCTGGGGGTGCCGACTCCTGGATCCCCACTAGCCGTGGATGCCCGGGGTGGGGGCCAGGCGGTCCTCGTCCCCGAGCCCTGGCAGCAGCTGGGGTGAGGGTTGCCGGCAGGGCAGTTTTGAGGGGTTTTTGCAGGGTTTTGCGGTGTGTCCGGCATTGCTTGCCGCCCTCTGGTGGAACGAGCCTTTCTGCACGGGGCTGCCTGGGCGCCAGAGCAAAGCTTCGCCGTTATTCCCCGAGTCCGAACGCAGCCCCTGCGAAGCTAAGGGGACCAGCCTGTCCCTGCCTGCCCGGCTGGCTGGGACCCCGGCAGACCGATACCCGGCTGCAGGGAAAAAGCCTTTGCGTGCGTCAAGGTAAACGTACCTGGAAGGTGCAGAGAGGTGTTTCCAAGAAGCCTGCAAGAGGAGTGAACGGTGACCGCACTCCCCTGCGACCAGGTCTGCTGGCCCCTCTGCTCCTGGTACCTTTTGCTTATCCTGAAACCCCCTTTAGAGCCCTGTCTGGTTCAGACAGACCCTTTTCTGGTAAAATGGTTTTAGTATTCAGTGTGCATTCACTGTGTCCCAGGTGGCCTTTAGTCAAGTATTATAGGGTGCTGGGTGTGTGATTGATGTCCTAGCTGAGGTCTGTCTTATTTTCCTGGCAAAGCTTTCTTGAAGGGTTTGAACTTGCCGACAGACATGCCTAATCCCTGGATGCTGGAGTCTGGTTTGCAGACGTGCCAGCCAAGGTGAATCTCCTGCAAGAAGCCTGGGCCAGATCCTGGCATGTGCCAGCTCTCGGAGTAAACCCAGGACCTGGGGAGCCCGTGGGCCTCTGTTTTTTCTCCCTAACTGCGTGGACCGGGAACCTGAGCATCACTGGGGTAAGAGCGGGAGTGCTGGAGTGACTGCGTGCCACCTCCTGGCACGGCCTTCACTCAAGAACACTGGCAGCTTGTAGCATCAGCAACCCATGTTTATGGCGCAGGATCCTTCTTCGGTCTCATCGTGGCGGTGGAGAGAAAGGGGGAAATGAGGGAAAGATGGAAACTCAAGTCCAAAGCCATTGTAGCGCCAAAAGCCTGGAAAAAAACTTATCTCCAATCTCCCTTTTTAAAAATTTTTTAATAAAGCCTTTTGTTTTTGCAGTAATCTCATCCTCTTGCCGGCCCAGTATTTTCCAGGCTCTCTCCCACCCCTCTCCCTGTGGCTCGGGGGAGCTGCGCTGGTGTGTACGTACAGCAGAAGGTGATCACACACTGTGTGGATTTTACTGCTCCCGCGAGGGACGTTTTCTGGGGCTGTTTTTCCGATTATTTCACTGAATCCTCCCGTAAACCCGATCTAGCCAGGGTCCCCATTCTCCCCCTACCCCCACTCCAAGTGGTGCGCGGGGGGAGAGAGAATCTCTTTTCCAGGGAAGGATCTGTAGCTTATTCGGCACCCACACAGCAGGTCAGCGAGTGGGCGAAGTCTGATGCTCAGTGCTGTCTGATTACCCGTGTCTGAGGAGGGAATTAATTCCTGCCCGAGGCATGCCCCGTGCGTTGTCTCTCTGACGGGAGCAGAACGTGTGGCCCGTGGGACAGGACAAGCTCTGCTTCAGTGCAGGTGTCCTGCCCGCTGTGGGTTCTGGCCTGGGAAAAAATTTGGGATAACCCAAGCAATAGAGGCTGCATTCAGCTCCTTGTGAGTGGGGTTGGTCCCACCACTCCTGATGGGTAACCTCAGTTGGACACATCTGGCACGGTGTGTAGTACATGTGATGGTGTGAGTCTCTTTATCACAGTGACTTTGCCACCTTGGGGGCTGCATCTGCAGCTTGTTCCTGCCCTGTTCTCTACCCAGGTCTCTTCCAAAGAGGTTCAGAGTGGCTCCAAATGTGCACATTACACCAAAACTCACCAGTAACTTCATATTACGCAGGTGAGATGGTTGTGTGCTTTACCCAATCTCAAACACTTTGTCCGGCAGCTCTGGAGTCCTGAGTTCAGACGTGGTGGACCCCATCGGTAGGCAGGACCTTTGCTGAAGTTCAGTGCTGGGAAAAGCCTGCCCTTGTGATAGCACCGTGCACTTGTCCTGCCAGATAGAGAGAATGGTGCTGCTGGGTCTGTCCTTACTTGAGAGAGAAGGCTCTGGGGTCTATTGGGGATCTGCTGGAGGGCAGAGAGACCTTGACGGGCTGGAGAAGATGGCTGACAGGCACCTTGTGAAGTTCAAGGGTGATAAATGTTAAGTCCTGCACCTGGGACAAAATAACCCTGTGCAGCAGGGCCGGCAGGAGCTGAACGGCCAGGGAGTAGCTCTGGGGGAAAGGACCTGGGGGTCTTGGGGACAGCCTGGGGATCTGCACGTGTCCTCTGCAACACCGACCAACCACATCTGGGGCTGTACTGGCAGAGCCACAGCTGGCAGTGCCAAGGATGGGGTCCTTCTCCTCTGTTTGGCACTTGAGACCCATCCGAGCTCAGGGTCCAGTTTGGGGTTCCCCAGTACAACACACTGACAGGCAGGAATGAGTCTAGCGGAGGGCACTGAGATGGTTGGGGCTGGAGCAAGGGACACGAGGAGGGTCTGCGAGCTGGCTTCTTCAGCTGGGAGAAAGGACAAAGGGGGATCCCATTGGTGTCTGCAGCTTCACAAGGGAGTGCAGAGGAGATGGAGCCAGGCTGTTGTGATGTCTAGGGATGGGATGAGAGGCAACAAACAGGGACAGGGTGGAGCAAGGAAAATTCTGGTTGAACGTAAGGAGTGTTCTTGCCCACAGGAGTGGTGCAGCCCTGGAACGGGACCCGGAGAGGGGGTGAGATCTCTGTCCTTGAAAATACTCAAAACTTGACCAGACAAGATCCCAAGCCTCCTGATCTAACTTGGAGCAGGAGGTTGGATTAGGGTCCTCCAGAGGTCCTTTCCAGCATAAATTTTTCTGTTTCTGCGATGTGAGTTTGGGTGGTTTGTGATGAGCTCCTTACATCCTAAGCCTGGAGCCGCACTGGCACTTCGTCCTTGGCTGTTTATGTTCTGACTGATGCTCAGAGGAAGCAGTGTTGCTGGGAAATCCCTTCCCTGTTCTGCTTGTTCTTGCAGGTTGGGTAGTTGCAACCTCTGCCCTGGTTGTGTCTTTCCGTGTCTCAGTGGCATTGAGCTCCAGTGGAAAAGAGGGACAGAGAGTCTTGAAATAACTCTGGAAGATGGCTGGGATATCATAGAATCATAGAACCGGTTGGGTTGGAAGGGACCTTAAAGATCATCTAGTTCCAACCCCCTGGCCATGGGCAGGGACCCCTTCCACTAGACCAGGTTGCTCAAAGCCCCATCCAACCTGGCCTTGAACACTGCCAGGGATGGGGCAGCCACAAATTCTCTGGGCAACCTGGTCCAGTGCCTCACCACCCTCACGGTGAAGAACTTCTTCCTCTAATCTTTCAGTTTAAAGCCATTACCCCTTGTCCTATCACTACATGCCCTCATAAAAAGTCCCTCTCTGGCCTTCTCGTAGGCCCCTTTAAGTACTGAAAGGCTGCAATAAGGTCTCCTCACAGCGTTCTCTTCTCCAGGCTGAAGAACCCCAACTCTCTCAGCCTGTCTCCATAGGAGAGGTGCTCCAGCCCTTGGATCATCTTCATGTCCCTCCTCTGCACCCACTCCAGCAGGACCATGTCCTTTCTGTGCTGGGGACCCCAGAGCTGGACGCAGTGCTCCAGGGGGGTCTCACCAGAGCGGAGCAGAGGGGCAGAATCCCCTCCCTGGACCTGCTGGCCACGCTGCTCTGGATGCAGCCCGGGATACACTTGGCTTTCTGGGCTGGAAACGCACATTGCTGGGTCATGTTGAGCTTCTCATCAACCAACACCCCCGAGTCCTTCTCCTCAGGGCTGCTCTCAATCCAGTCATTGTCCAGCCTGTATCTGTGCTTGGGATCACCCCAACCCATGTGCAGGACCTCGCACTTGGCCTTGTTGAACTCCACGAGGTTCGCACAGTCCCACCTCTCAAGGCTGCCGAGGTCCCTCTGGATGGCATCCCTTCCCTCCAGCGTGTCGACCGCACCACACAGCTCGGTGTCGTCGGCAAACTTGCTGAGGGTGCGCTCGATCCCACTGTCCCTGTCGCCAACAAAGATGTTAAACAGCGCCGATCCCAATATCAGCCCCTGAGGAACACCACTCGTCACTGCTTTTCTCATATGGAAGCTGCAGAGGGAGAATAATTTTGGGCCCAGTGAGTGAGAATGCAATTCTTGTGCAAGCTAAGCAGCTGCCAGAGAGCTTCTCAGGCAACCTGTCCTCAGAAGAGAGGTGATTGACTTTCTCTCTTTGCAGTCCCAAGTGAATGTAAGAGCATGCTGCTTAATGAGCGCTTTCCTTCCTTCCTTCCTTCCCTCTGCAATGTGGCGTCCCAGAGGATTTAAGGGTGAGAGGTTGTACTGCACAGCGCTGTCCAGGTTGGGGCATGGAGTGCTTTGTGGTGATCTTGGACCTGGCAGCTGACTAGATGTTAGTGGCAGCTTCAGATTTCATTGCCCAGCACAAGGTCTCTGATGTAGCGAACACAAAAATGCAAAGATTCACATGATAGTGTCTTACTAAGCTATTTTTTTTTTTTTGTCTTTCAGGCCAAAGGGTCTCCCAGGAAGAGCAAAATCTTGGAAGATGATTCGTCATTGAAGGAAAATGAGAGTCTGCTTGCTCAGAATGAATATGAAGAAGACAGCTCAGATGAAGAGGTAGGACCCATTGCAATGTTGTTTGTTTGTGTTTTTTAATATGTGGATATGAGATAGAGGTGATGGATGGATTTCCCTCTCCATGTTGGCTTCTGTGTGATCTCGAAGGGAGGGGATACGCTCAAGCAACGTTGTCCCTGAAGGGGAATTGCCCGGACTGCTCTTTGCCGCTAATGCAGAGCAGGCCAGAGGCACCAAGTCAGGGCTCTTAAGCAGACTCTTGGTGAAGGTACGTTACTTGAGTGCGTCGCTTGGAGCACCTGGGGCAGCTGAAAGGAACGTCACATCCACCTTGGAAAGGACAGCGCTTCCCGTATGGGAAGAGCCTCCCTTCCACTCTTCCTAGAAGTCGTACAACAAGCGCTGTCTTTGCCCAGCCAGAGCTGGAGCTTTCAGCCCAGGGTCAAGAGAGGGTTTCTTCAGCTCTTTAAAAGGTGACTGAGCCTCGCCTTTGGCTCATGGGGTTACGTTCGCTGTTCAGGGATCTGCCCTGCTCTCAGAGGGGACCTCTCTGAGTTATGCTCATTGGAAAAGTTTGGAAACCGCTTGCGTGGAAGATAGCAGGATCTCAGCAGTAAAATGCCCCTAGGGTTTGGTTGTTCCAGACAAACTTTGTTGCCTTTCTTAATCATCTGCTAAATCAATTAATGCAATTGGCGTCAATCAGCTGTTTCAGTAGAGCACTGGGGTTGGGATGGAGGGATTGCCAAGGGCTGTGGGGGCGTTTGGATCTGGCCCTTATTGCTGGGATTTAGGTTCACCTGAAAGGGTACTGGGTAGCCTCATACATGACTTGGACAAATGCTTGGAGAAGCCTCCTGGGCGCTGGTTAGGTGGAATATTTCAGGCTGTCTCCTCCTTAACCACTGAGAAATAACAGAGCACAGAAAATCCTGCATGACCAGGCAGGTGAAGAGCCAGCTGGTGCCTGCCACACGCCGCAAGTGCACTGAACGAGGAGCTCTGACAGCTCGCTCGCGTGGGGTGCCTGGCCGCTGTGGAATGGCTGTGGGTACCAGGGGGGAATGTCGGGAGTAACGACAGCGTACCACCCGGGGCTTGGGACGGGAGTTTGCTGAGCAGGGACATCATGAGCGGGACTCCGGGCTGCGCACCCAGCTTCAGGAGAGATCTTTGGCATCACTGACGGTTCAAAGGGTCTAGGCTTGCATTTCCTGGTGCTTTGAGGGATGCGTCTGTTCCCGTTTCAGTCCCAGCAGAGGGGAAGGGGGAGGATTGGGTGCCTGCCGGCCTTTCTGGTCCAGCGAGGGCCCGAAAGGTTAGACGTTAGAGGCCCACCTGGGCTAGCGCTGGAGCTGCCAGCAGTCCCTGCCCCGGGGTCTGGAATAGAGATTTAGAGAGAGGGGAAATATATGACTATAGAAAACATACACTTGTGTAATGTCTCCAGCATAACCCAGGAAAAAAACCCTTTCATGCAGGAATTCAAGGTCGCTCTCTCCCCAGCTGGTCCTGCTTCAGGGCCCCGGTGGGGGGAGCGCTGATTCAGAACCTGTTGACATCAGAGCAGCTTCCAGTGGCTTTGTTCCTTGTTCCCCGTTCCCAGCCCCCTGCCCTCCCTCTGTAATTGCATTTATCTCTCTTCCATAAGAACCCTGATGCTTCTGCTTCCTGCGGCTGGGATGCGCACACTGGGTGCTTTGTGCTCGCCTCCATGAGGAGCATCGCCCAGCGCTTGTCTGTTGCTTTGTGGCTGGGAGGGGAGGGCAGCATCCCCCCCCGTTCAGGCAGGGGCAGCTCAGACGAGAACAGGGCCAGGAAAACCCTTTCTTGCTGCACATAGGATCTGTATTTTTTTATTTTTTATTGTCTGTTGAGACCTAGCCTGCATCGCAGCCTCGTCCCAGTTAGCGTGTAGCCTCGTCCTAATTAAAGTCTTCATGAAATGCTATGCTGTGCTGGTTTTGGCTGGGATAGAGCTGATTTTCTTCGTAGTAGCTAGTACGGGGCTATGGTTTGGATTCGTGCTGAAAACAGTGTTGATAACACAGTGATGTTTTAGTTATTGCTGAGCAGCGCTTACACAGAGCCAAGGCCTTCTCCCGCAGCCTGAGGTTTTGGTCAGCCTGGCTGGGCTGGGAACCGTGGCAGCCGGTTTCGGTGCTGGGTGTTGCTTCGTTACCCCCGTCACTCGTCCCTTGTCCGGAGGCGACTGGTCCGTGGGCTGGCTGTGTGTTGGGGGGTGGCTAGGTGCAGAACTGGGCTTCGGAGGGTGCACAGCGTGCTGCCTGCGTCCTCCCACCCCTGCTGGCCATGCCACCAGCCTCACACGGCCGTGTTGCTTCACCGCCCTCTAAGTCAGCCGCCAAATGGCACTGTTTTGCAGTGGGACCGTGAGCTTGGGGTGGAACACCTCCGGGGTTTGCGATCCCTGATAGTGGAGGGTCCAGATCCACCCTTCTGCCAGAGGCAATGGGATTCCTCTGGATGTCCCAACCCAGGGGTTAGCTGCGTGGCATGGCCCAAACTGGCATCTCGAGAGCAGAGCGGGGAGAGCCGTGAAAGCTGGAGCTGGCTTGGCTGGAGTAGTCCCCTTTCTTGCCGGATTTGGGGTCCCAGCCTTTGTCCGTGAGTCGGGGCAGGCAGCCGGGGCGGTGGGGCTCTGCCGGAGCACGGCGCAGAGCTGCAGGAGCAGATTGTCCCTGGGCTCTGGTCACTGCTGGGAGCTCTGGGGGAACGGGCAAGAAATTTGGCAGCCTCTGGGTAGAGATTAAGCCTTGTGCTCCCAGACTATACCTATCTCCGTGATAATTATCTCTGACCTGATTGTTATCTTTAATGATAGCAGCTCTAAATGTTATTGATAGGCGATAACCCCCCTGTGCTTGTTCATGCTGTGGCGTTCAGCAGCAGCATTGAGCTCCAGCAGTCAGGCGCTGCTGTGGGAAGACGTCCCAGTCCCCTTCGGCCCCTTCCCCTGCCATTCTCCCCACCGGTCACGCTGGTGGGTGCTGCTCAGCGCAGACCCCAGCCGGGAGCACCCTGGGTGCAGCGCTCAGGGTGCTCCCCCAATTCCCCTTTGCCTGGCTTCGTCTACAAACCCCTAACGGGGCGCCTGCGACCCTACAGCCTGCCCTATGGCTCCGTTCCCAGTGGCGCCCGCAGGTTTGCTCCCTAAACCAGCGGCAGTTTGGGAAAATACCCGGTGCCACCGCTGGCACGGCTGATGCCCCGGAGCATGCCGCCGCTGTGCCGGCTGTCACTCACCCGCCGGCGGCTGGCTCTGAGCTTGCGCGTTCTCCCCTCCGCCTGTGCGTGGGCTTCGGAGCTCTTTAATAAAGAATAATAGCTCAGACCTGCTATGCCCCTGTGTTTAGCACAGACTAAATTTCTTCTAGCTGTGCTCCTGCTCACTTGGCAGCTGCCGGTGCTCAGCCTGGCCAGGCGCCCAGGCCGGTCTCTGCCGTGTGCTCTGAGCAGAGACACAACAAAATAAATCGGTTTCCTGGCCGGGGCGGGTAGGATAGCCCGTGTCGCACGCAGGACCCTTTCCCGGTGCCCGGCGGGCAGGGTCCCCGCGCCGGGCGGCACGAGAGCCGCGGTGCGGGCGGGCTGGCCGCCGTCGCAGTGCCGCCGGGGAGCAGGTCCCCCCCACGCCAGGCCCCCGCGGCGATCCCTTCGGAGCTCACCGCCGAGCGTCCCTTCCTCTCGGCCGCTCGGAGATGAATGGCCGTGAGCTGCAGAGGCTGTCAGGGCCTCGCTGGGAGGAAGCAGTTTGGGGCTTTTGTTTGGTTCTGTTTCCTCCCGCAATGACTATTCCATATGTCAGTGGATAATGAATGAAGGCGCGTTGAGTGCTCCTCGGTGAGCCGGCGGCTGTTCCAAGCCCACTTCCCTCCTCCGCAGCGCAGCTGACCCGGGCGGGGGGGTGCAGCGGCTGGCCGGGCTGAGGGAGCTCTTCTTTCAGTAGCTGATTAGCCAAGAGAGAGGAAAAAAAAAAAAAAAAAAAAATCCTGCGAAATGTGCTGCTGGCAGACAGCTCCTTCAACTCATCGCTCCGTGTGTGTGTGTGCGTGTGCGTGCGCTTCCCGACCTGCCTGGCTCCAGCAGATGCTCCAGGCTTCCCACTCGCCGGCTGCATTAACCGCTTAGCAAATCTCCCCCGCGAGCGTGTCTGGCCGGGCAGCCGCGCGTGCTCGGCCCCGTCTGACGGCCGCGAAGGTGCGAAAGGAAGGGCCGCGAGGAGACTGGGATTCGGGCTCGGAGCGGGAAGCACGGTGGCAGTGCCGCCAGGATGGAGCTGAGCACGTCGGAGCCGGGAGAGGAGGGACCCGAGGGGTGCTTTGCCACCAGCCTGGTGGGCTTGGCCTCTCTCTCCGGTGATGCGGGAGGAAGGTTGGGGCTCCTTTGCTCCGCTCTCTGCCCTCACAGCTCTGCAAAAGCTCACGGGTGCCCCGGGGCAGAGCCTGGAGGGGCTCCAACCCCAGCCTGGTGCTCCCAGACTCTGCCCCCCACCATAACCACCACTGCACCCTGAGCCGGGGAGCCCCCGGCCCCAGCTTGCCCAGGCGAAGCACATGAGAGCAGGTTCGCGAATCATCCTGGCTGCTCAGCAGGCAGGTGTTTCTGCTGCTAAATTCAATACTTTTTCTTTTCCTGCCCTTTTCTGTTGAGGGGGAGGCACATCCTAGTGTTGCTGTGTCCTTTCCAAAATGCGCCTGTTCCATCTCGGGGAACACTGATGGGCCATGGTTGTTTCATACGCTGATAAGGGAGTAGGGCATGGAGATTTAGAGAGAGCTTCAAATCCAGTGAAGAGATCGCCCTAACCCGCATTTACCTGTGCTAAAGGATCTGGCTGTAGGGGTAGCACGGGCTCCTCCGTGCCTTCCTGGGCTCCCAAGGAATCAGTCGCTGACAGAAACAAAGTTCTTGGAAAGTACGCGGTGGAAGTGTCTGCTGCTGTGCTCGGCATCGGGAAGAAGTTGGAAATGGGATGCAAGAAGGAAAGCACTGAAAGCTTCGTTACAGCCCGTCAG